GTCTGTCTCTGACTCTGCATTTCAAATACATCATTTTTTAAAGGTTCCTTTTTTTTTTTTTTTCAAGCTGAATTGGCTAATCCTCTCTCCTTCAAGCACCAAGATCCCATGTGGGTGCCAATTCGCATCCCAGGTGCTCCACTTCCCATCCAACTCCCTGTTAATGGCCTAGGAAAGCGGTAGAGGAGGATTCAAAGCCTTGGGACCTGGAAGAGGCTCCTGGCTTCCGATCAGCTCAGCACCAGCTGTTGTGGCCACTTGAAGTGAACTAGTGGATGGAAGATCTGTGTCTCTGCCAAGTCTACCTTTTCAATACAAACAAATCACTTTTTTAAAAAAAATGATGTTTCACCTGATGAAATCCTGTACTCATTTCTTAAGTATCAAGGACTTCCCATTGAGAAACTGTGTTTGTGACAACAGAGTACAGAGATCCCATCAGTGGATCCCCAAAGGCAGGTCCCCGAGCATGCCCAGGTCCTAATTCCAGGAACTATGGCCCTGCTGTTCTCCCTGGCAAAGCCCACCTGGCAGATGGGATCAACTGAGAATCTGACCATGGGGAGAATACCCTGCAGCAGCCCAGTGGACCCAATGTAATCACACAGTGCCTTGCAAGAGCGAGGTGGGGACAGGGTGGTAGTCAGAGGGGAGACAATGCCAAGATGGAAGAGGCACCCAAGGGCTGGGAATGAATACACTAGACCCGCCCTCAGTTCACTGCCTCAACCAGAACAGTTTATGATCACACTGGTTTTAATCTGTTATCAACATTAAACTTGAACTGGGAGAAGATTCGTTCTGAAGATAAAATTTTACATTCAACACTGGCCTTTGCAGTGCTACCTTCTACTCCGGCTGTATGCACCGCCTAATCAAGGAGAACTTCAAGGCTTTTTAGATGAACTTCCTGTAAGTCAGATCTGCTATTACAACCCGGGGGGGGGGGGAGGACAAAAGAGTCAATTTCATAAGCCCCTAATTCATGAAAGCTACCGTTGCGTTATTCCTTTCTTCCCCCGCAATGCTTCCACCCATTTTAAGCCTTTTTAAATCACCGTGAATCATGCCCACTGCACCTTACATCCCCCCGATTAGAGACAGCTGAATAAATGAAGCTTTTTATAATGATATTTTAGGTAAACCCTTTATTAAAATAGACTACAGGGAAAAAAATTAAGGCTTTCAAGAAATGGAGTCCCATATAAATGGAGTCGGTGAAAAAAAAGACCCAAATGCCTCCAAGAGCCCCTTCTGTCCCTCCTTAATTCCTCACTGCCTCAAAGGTGGCCACTAGCCTGACTCGAGACCAGCTTGCGGTTTTCCAGTGTCTGAATTTCTTACAAACGCAATCAGACAACACTTGCTCTTTTGGGTCTACTTTTTTTTGCTCAGCTTTACGTGAGACTCCTCGCAGCGATCTGTTCACTCTTCAGGCTGTCGAGGCCAGCATCACAGCATTGCCAGATAAGCCACTGCCCATGATGTCAGCAACCAATACGAGCACCAATTCAAGTCCCAGCTGCTCCATTCCTGCTCCCTGCTCGTGTGCCTGGGAAAGGAGCAGATGACAACCAAGCGACGACCTAAAATGAAGCTCCAGGCTCCAGGTTTCGATCTGCTCCACCCTGGCCATGGTAGTTTGCAGCACAAACTAGTGGATGGCACAAGTTCTCTGACTCTTTGCCTTAAAATTATATGGGAAAACTAACCTATTCCATTTTAATTTAAATGCATTACCATAAAATACTTAATAACATCTTAAGCTTTGGCAAGAGTCTAACTTGAGAGATGTGGAAGAATAGCTCCCTTTTTTTCCCCTGATCCTAGTACAAGTTGACCAGTTCCCTTCTCCCAAATGATCAGGACCAGAAGCATTTTAGGTCTTATAGGTCTTCATTTGGGGATATTCACACAGATGTCAGTGACTGAACACCCCTAATCCAAAAACCCAAAATAGTCCCAAAGCCAGCATTTCTAAGGTATTTATCCGCTTATCTGAAATGTAGAATAACAGAGACAGAGAGGGAAAAATACCTTCCATCTGCTGGAACATTCTCCTACTGGCAGCCACAGCCAGGTCTGAAGCAGGCCTAAGCCAGGAGCCAGGGACTCCAGCTGGGCCTCCCACAGAAGTGGCAGGAACCCAGGCACTTGGGCCATTGTCTGCTGTCTTCCTAGGTGCATTAGCCAGGAGCTGGGCACACACAGAGCAGCTGAGACCCACACTGGTGCTCTGGTACGGGGCGGCAGTATCACAAGCAGCGGATCAATGCTCTACCACCACACTGACCCCCCAAATCCTGTCATTTCTGTGCACTGCACCCAGGAAGGGTACAACACCATACCCCACTCAGATTCACCCACTCTCCAAAATAACAGAGGAAGAGTGGGCCTGGTATGTACATGACACACACCCAGTGTCACAGAAGTGTCAATCACCCAGAGCAGGTACAGTGCAGGAAGCAGCTATCCGCAACCCGCCAATCCCTCTTGAAAGCTCTGATCACCGGAAATAACCGCAAACAACAAAACCTCAGCCTGGCCCGCCCCTGGCCATTGTGGCCACTTGAGAAGTGAACCAGCCCCCTTAACTCTCACAGAAAGCAGCAGAGGCAGAAAGATCGTCCATCTGCTGATTCACTCCCCAAGCAGCCACAACAGCCAGAGCTATGCCGATCCAAAGCCAGGAGCTTCTTCTGGGTCTCCCACACAGGTGCAGGGTCCCAAGGCTTTGGGTCATCCCCTGCTGCTTTCTCAGCCACAAGCAGGGAGCTGATGGGAAGTGGAGCAGCTGGGACACAAACCAAAACTCATTTGGGATTCTGGTACTTGACATGGGAGGATTAGCCAATCGAGTCATTGTGCCAGGCCATCATATTTTCATAATATGCATAATTCATGAACCTTCTCAAGACCCCCTCTTAGTTATTACAAAATTCAATCTTGTACTGACACATATCATAAGTTCATTAACATTCACCACACATTTTTAAACTATGGTAATAACTTTGGTTCCATGTACTATATTCCCTCTCCATTTGCTAATATTTTCCTTGGCTTCAGTAACTGGCAGAGAATCCTATTAAATAAAAAAAAAAAACTCCAGAAATAAGCAATTCCTAGGTTTAAAACTGTATGTCATCTGAGTTTTACATGATGAAACCTGGCACCGTCCAGTTCCACCCTGCATGGGACAGAAACCACCCTTACAACGGTACAATCACAGTGTGCACACTACCTGCCCATCAGCCACTTGGCCATTTGTCATAGCATCCCAACGCTTCTCTACAGGGTTCCCCATTTCCAGGGGTTTCAGACACCTTCCTCAAATACCCAAGGATAAGGGACCCTGCCATGTCGCATAAACCTACACATTTTAGTAGCTCTTAAACTGACTTCAAGAATCCAAAGGCCTCAGAGCCACTCTGACCAGCCCCTGAAGTTTCCTAACTCCCACCCTTTCCGCTGCAGGGTGTCCATTAACCTGCTTCCCCAGGAGGGAGCAAGTGAACACCTGGTGAGGCTCTGATTCGAAAGAGGAGTCCAAAACGCAGCCTGCCAGGTGCCACTCTGACCAGGGTAACGCTACTTCTCCTGGTTACTGCAGACTGTATCGGTGTATCTAAGAAACCTCACCAGCACACAGTCTGCTGAATGGTAACTGGATCTCCTAGGTCAAAACTGCCCTTACCCAACTTTTCATCACGGTGAGGGGATGCAGGGAAGTCATAGGCAAGTTGGGTCACCAAGAACGCACAGGAAACAAGCACGCTTCCACATACAGCATGGAAACCACCACCTCCTCTGGGCTTGGTGCTCCCCCAGCATCCATCACACCTAAGTAGGTGTGCAGCTTTAAAAACGAATGAATGACTCTAAATGCAAAGGGACAAAAACTTGGGCCTCACCCCACATGCTGCAAATCACATAAGTTGCCAAACCCTAGCTGCCCAGCCTTCCTCATCCAAGGCATTGAACATGGGACTCAGAACAAGGGGCATAGCACCTCCTTTTCTCCAAGCCCCCCACATACACACTTTAGGTGAGGACTGGGAGTGGGAGGGCTTGTCCACACAGAGACCGGTGTCTCCAAAAGCTGACTTCAAAAGAGAGGTAAGGGAAACCGAGTTCCGAGAGTAGCAAGGCAAAGCCACCTCCAACTCTGTAGTGGCCGGAGCCGCCGCAGGCCGGCCAGGCAGCCGTGCCTCTAACCCAGCCAGAGTTTGGAGTCCGCAATTCCCACCCAGCACAGTCAGAAACTGGGAACCAAGCCACAGGAAAACGAAGTGAGCAGGAGCGCGCGTGGGTGCTCGGCGGGGAGGGACGGGAACCGGCGTCCTGGCCCCGGACCGCCTCCCCCACCTCCTCCGTGGACACTCGGCGCGCCGCCCCCGCCGCCTTTGTCTCCTGGGGACCGGGAACTTCCTCTGTCCCGCCCTCGGGCGCGCACACGCCAACTGGGGCAGAAACGACTCTTGAATTTCTTTTTCTCAGCAAAGTAAACCGCAGCTCAAAGGGTCAGCAGCTAACCTTTCCCCGGGACCCCCTAAGGTCACCAGCTACCAACCTCCGGGCTGTCCCGGGCGGCGGCGACGGCGACGTTCCCGCGCGCCGCGGCTTCCCAACACCCCTCTCTCGGCACTTCCGAGTCCCGGCGGCGGCGCTGCGGGCCCCGGCGGGCACCGCCCTCCTTCCCCGGGAGCGGCAGCCCCGCGCGCTCACGTTCCCGGAGCACGCCCCCGCCGCCGTGCCCGCGCGCCCTTGGCCCCTTGCTGCAGGCCCGGGCAACCGGAGCTCTGCCTGCGCCCGGGCTAGCGGGCCGAACCGCCGATCCCTTCGCCCCCTGCAGCCGGCGGAGACGCTAGACCCCGGGCAGCAGCCCCTGGCTCCCGGGACCTGCAAGCGCACAGACCTTAAACCCTACCCCACCCCCGCCTCCGGTGCGTGACTGTGTCCTTTACAAGCCCGAGGCGAGTTAATGACAGAGTGAAAGTCACCTGCGACTCGAGGGGGGGCCCTCAGTCCGATCCCAGGGGTCCACACATACGTGTAGTTCGCGAAAGGAGGTAGCTCGGTGGGGTGGAGAGAGGGCGGGCTCTGCAGCCGGGGCAGCTTCAGGAGCTTGCTGCATGAACTTAGCCCCCGGGAGTCTCCCTGTCCGCCTCTCTGGGATACAAAGTGAGCTGCCCAGTGTTTCCTCGCAAATTAGAACCAAGACCGGATGGGCTGAGTTTTATGCATTTGTAAGGCAGCTTTACAGAGACAGCCGCGCTGCAAAAGAAAAACCCAAGGATCCGCAACGCGGGGTGACCAGGGGAGTCGGTTGGGGAAGACCTGAAGGTACCTGAGGAAGAGGCAGGCTGCTTCGGTGACTTCAGCCCTGCGGAGAGGCGAGGCCGAGCCATCTGAGCCGCACCGGGGAGCGGGATTTATCGGAGCGGAACCACCTGGGCTCTCGTTAAAACCACGGGCTCCTGGCTCCTACTGCAGATAAAGCAGGTGAGCCTCCCCAGGAAAGAAGTGCTCCAGGTGGTCCTAGGCTTTAGTAAATGAGTTTAAGCCCAAGAACAGGCAGCCAGAAAACGCAGAGGTTGCGCTCGAACAGGTTTATAATCTAGCGGTAATTATTACAGCCCAGGGATTTTTTTTTTTTTTTTGATTGCAAAATCCTGTGGGAAACACGAAGTATATGTGAAAACTGGAACTGGCTGTTCTGTCAGCTTCCTCTCAGCCGGGTCCCTCCAACAACTGGTCCAGGGTGGAGTTCAGTAAGCAGGTGTCAGTAAACTGGTCGCAGATTTTGCCAATTTACTGGAAACCCAACTGAACTGCAGAGATACGTACTTTTTTTTTTTTAACTTAGTGTCTACATGGCTGTGGGGCAACTGGAGTATATACTTCATCGCTTTTTAAACGTACCTGTTGTGTATCTGAAATCAAAATGGAACTGGGTATCAGGAAATGAAGCGGACCCGGGCCTTTAATCTAGCAGCTCTAGCTCCAGAAATTGAGATGCAAGAGGAACTCAGGAGCCAGACTCAGGGAAGGTGGTTCAGCTCCTACTTCTTGTAAAGACTGACCTGTTGGAAAGGCAAAGGGACAGAACAACTGTAGGGGCCTCAGACACCCTACTCACACTCCCCTCCCCTGCAGCCACCGGTAACTCCACCCTGCTCTCCCACTTGGTGGCATCTTTTGCTGCTTTCCCAGGGTGCAGCAGTAGCTGGATCAGAGGCAGAGCAATGGCAGCTCCAGCCAGCACTCTTTGGGGATGTCGGCGGTGAAGCAGGAGCTTAACCCACTGTGCCCCACCACCTGCCTGCCCCTAACACATATATTATCACAGTCTCACATATGTTGGAGCTGAATTGACCTGAAAACACAAAGCAAAATAAAACAAGTCTCACCACAGGTAAACAGCAATTACAAAAAAACAGCCAACACTTAAGAATAAATAATAGACTGGCTCCTCTATGTGGAGCAAATATGCAAAGTGTTTTGTTTTTATTCTATACAAATTTAATCAAAGGAACAAAAAAAAAAAAAACAGAAGCCATTTGTTAGATGGACAAGACACATGAATAGACAATCCACTAGGAAAAAAGAAGAAACCAAATTAGGGATCAAATATATTGCAGAGAGCTCAGAGATGTATAGTTAAATAAGAGCATGCCATGTTTCACAATAAAATTGGCAACAAGTTAATAAGTGACATTAAAAACTGGCAAGAGTTCCATCGGATAGCACACATAATTGTCAGGCAGACAGGCAATTTGGCACTATCTAAATCCCTAACATGTATCAAAACTCTTAAAAATGTTCAACAACCATTTTGAGTTTTGAATTCAGTTTACTGGAATAAATCCATAGGAAATAATTCATTATTATCCCTTTTTCAAAATATCCCTTTTTCACCTCTACTAAGGTATAAGAAAAAGTTGGATACATTCAGGTGTACAATGTGGTGTTTTGATATTCCTGTACAGCATGAAAATGATTATCATGGTAAAGTTGATATTCATCACTTCACAGTTACCTTTTTAAAACTTATCTATTTGAAAGGTGGGAAGAGAGAGAGACAGATCTTATCTGATGGTTCATTTCTCAAATGCCTGCAACAGCCTAGGCTGGGTCTAGCCACAGCGAAGAGCAAGGAATCCCATTCAGGGCTCCCACATAATTGACAGGAACACAACCACTTGCCTCCCAGGGTACACAAGACTAGGAATCTGGAATTGGTAACCGACCCGGATCCAATAGGGAATGCCGATGTCCCCAGCAGTGGCTTAACTGCTAAGCCAAATGCATGCTCCGTAATTACCTGCTTACTCTGTGTGTGTATGCCAAGGATACTTAAGATCTACTGTCTCAGGAAACCTCAAGTATATAATGGGCTGATATCAATTGTAATCACCGTGCTGTACACTAGGTACAGAACTCATTTATCTTAACTCCAAGTTTGTGCACTTGGATCAATGGCTTCCCATGTCCCGTGGTATCACAGCCCCTGGCAATTACCATTCATTCCTCTGTTTCTACAAGTTCAACTGTTAGATGCCACATGTAAATGAGATGTGCAGTGTTTGCCATCCTATGCCTGGCTTATGCCATTTAGAATAATGTCCACTAGACTAATCCACAATGTCACAATATTGCAAATGTTCCATGTGTTTTGAGGCCAAATGTTATTTCATTGTATGCATTGTTAAATACATAAAGGCCATTGATTTAGACGGTACACCTGGACCAGGCCCACTAGCCCAGCCTGTATGGAGTTCAGTCAGAGGATCTGAGCTTTGCTTGATTGCAAGAAGCCCTAGAGCCGATTATCCAACTAAGTTGTAACCAATTGACAGGTTCATCAAATAAGCTATAATCAATTAAGTTTATATCAATGCTTCAATTCCATTTTTCTGTAAATGCTGTCTGAGCATCTTGTTAGCCAAGGTTCTCACCATCTACTCTGGCTTCAGAAGCATCCCACTGTGTGAGTCAGTTCTGTTTTGTTTTGCTGTAATAAATTCTATCCATTTAACTGGTGTAAGGAATTCTCTTTAATAATAGATAAAATGACTTCTTCACCATTCATCTGTTGATGGATGTTTGTGTTGTTTCTATTCCCTGGCTATCGTAATAATGCCAGGAAAATGCTCTTTATAAACAAAGAATTTAATATTCATAAATGTTATAACAATTGTAACAATGGCCAAAATTATTAATACAATGTACAAGATCGTAATTTGTACAATTTAGATCATCATGGAGAAAGTTTACTGCAACATGTCAAAACATAGCAAATAACCAAAACAAAAACCAAACATCCTGGAAACTTTACAGTTTAAACTCTAAAAGGTACAAGTTTCATAATACAGAAATCTTTTTTTAATTTTGTAATAAGATACATAAGATTCATTATCCTCACCACTTTATGTACACAGGTCCACAGTGTTAAGGTCTCATTCCTTCACAAGGTTGTAAACCCCTAGGCTCCTCGTTTTGCAAAAGTGGAAACTGTCTACCCATTAACAGCCTTCCTTCCCTCTTCCCTCCAGGTCCGGACCACCACACCACACCACACTTTGTCTCAATGAAATTCACATTAGAGCTTTGTTTAAAGTGCAATCCTGCAGCATTTCTCCTTCCCGACTGGCTAGCCTCACTTAGCAAAACTGCCCTTCGGTGTTTCCTTAAGGGTGCAGCATGTGGCAGAACGTCTTCCTTCTTATGGCTTGTCATACTCCATTGTGTGGCATTACTCATTCGTATGTGTTCAGCCGTCCAGGGTCTCAGGTTACGTCCACCTTTTGGCTATTGGAGATAATGTCGCTATCAATAACATGGGTACACAAATGATTCTTTGAGACCCTGCCTTCAGTTCTTTTAGATATATATCCAGAAGTGGAATTAATGGGTCTGTTAAATTCCACTTTTAATAGTGATGGCATCATTTTACATTCCCTCTAACAGTGCACCAGAAATCCAGTTTCTCAGTATCCTCACCAAGACTTTTCATTTTGTATTTGGCTGCTTACTCCCATGGTCATGAGGTGATATCTCACTGTGTTTTGATTTGTGATGAATGATCCTGATCATCTTTTCCTGTGTTATTGACCACTTACAAATATACTGGAGCAATAAACCTGATCAAGTCATTTGCCCATCTTTTGCTTGTATTGTTTGGATTTTTTGATAATAACTATCAGAAACTGAATATGATTTGAAAATATTTTCTGTAGTTCTGTGGATTTCCTTTTCATTGTTGATTGTGTCTGTTGATGGAGAAAAGTTTTGAAGAAACCCAATTTATCTGCGTTTTCTTTTGTTACTGATACTTTTGATGCCAACTAAGCAATCACTGTGGGTCCAACACAGTGGCCTACTGGCTAAAGTCCTTGCCTTGCATGTGCTGGGATCCCATAAGGGCGCTGGTTTGTATCCAGCTGCTCTACTCCCCATCCAGCTCATTGTTTATAGCTTGGAAAAGCAGTCGAGGATGACCCAAAGCCTTGGAACATTGCGGCCACTTGGGAGACCCAGAAGAAACTCTTAGCTCCCACCTTCTGATCAGCTCAGCTTCAACCATTGTGGCTGCTTGGGCAGTGACCAGCAGATGGAAGATCTTTCTCTCTGTAAATCTGACTTTCCAATAAGAATAAATAAATCTAAAGAAGAAAGAAATCATGGCCTAATTCACTGCCACCAAGGTTTTTCCCCCATAGGTGTTTTCTAAGTTATGTTTTAGCTCTTACATTTAGGTGTCTGACTCATTTTGGTTAATTTTTGCATATGATATAAGATAAGAATCCAACTTCATTGTGTTATCTGTGGATATTTGGCTTTCAGGTATTGTTGAAAAGCAGAAATATCTGCTTTTGTGTATGCATAATTTTTTATTTGCACAAAAAGTTTTTTTAAAGATTCATTTATTTGAAAAGCAGAATGACATGGAGACAGAGAGACAGAGAGAGACACACAGAGAGATCTTTCATCCACTAATTCACTTCCCAAATGCTCGCATTGGCCTAGGCTGGGCTAAATTAAAACCAGGAGCCAGTAATTCCATGTGGGTATCCCATA